GAATATTTTGGAATTAATTACGAGTGTTGAAAAGTCCATTATTTGAGTGAATTGTTTTTATTGTGATTGATTAAATCTTACTAAGTATGGCAATTTGCTTGCCAATTTTTTTCCATTTCCTTATTTGTGTTTGAAAATCAAAATGCTAGAATTTGTTTCTGTCCAAATTGCAATTCGAACCATTTTTTGTTGATTTTTCCTTTGGCCAATTTTGCCTTTTGCCAAGTTTATCAAATTTTGTTATGTATGAAAATCGCGAGACCTAAAATCAAATCGATTTGAGTGCGGAAACAAATCTTTTTTCCCCATTTTGCTTGATTGTGCTTGTCCGCTTGAAAGTCGCAATGCCCAAATTCATGTTGGTCCGAACTTTAAGTAAGACCATTTTTGCTATTTTTATCTATTTTATCTAATTTTTCATTTTTTCCATTTTATCTAATTTATGTAATTTTCTATTTTTTCCTTTTTATCTCATTTGTCATCTTTTTTTATTTTTGCCATTGTTGCCTATTTTATTTATTTGTCCACTTTTAACCCATGTTTCCACGCATGCCATTTAGGTCACACTAGCCATAAATTCTTGTGTACTTATCATGTTCTTTTCATTTCATTTTCATACCTATTCATTTCGGAGTGAGGATGAGGTCCATGATCGAGTCAAGTCCCAAATCACTCATCCGATTGGCAAATTTTTAGAAAAAAGACATAAATTTTCATCATTAAAAAAAAATTAGAAATCAAATCATATTTTTATGCAATGCGGCTTACCCGAGGCGTGATGGGATAGGTTGATTTTAATCTTTCATGTACGTAATAAACCCCTTACTTAGAACTTTGCACGGACCAGCCATGTGATTTTCTAATAACCATAATACTAGGTGGCAACTCCATTATTTTTTCTCGTTTTACTATTTCCTAAAATCATCTTCCCCTCAACGTCACCCTACAACAATTTGCACGACCAACAAATACCCCGTTTAAAGGACAAGACTCCTAATATAAAAGATTAAAAACACTAGATCTCCTTCTTCCCTCATTGCCTCTCTCTTGTAAATAATAGGAAAATGAAAGAAGTCTCAAAGGTGAAGACATCTCTAGAAAAAGATAAAAAAATTTGAAACTCGAGAGTGTGGCCTAGTCATCGGGTAGAAATTGGCACAAATTTATGCTAAAATGACAAAAAAAAAAAAAGCTGAAATAACTCGAAGGGGAAGCCTAACCCCGTATTTCATCATACAAATAGAGACTATAATCTCTAAGCTCTCATTAAAAGCTCCATATCTCATCGCCCTCATCCTATGAGTGGTCTAAGGAATGACAACTTAATAATCTATGCCTAAAGCATAACCATAAGCTCTAATCATATGAATAGATATTGTGCTAGGACCTCCCTCGGTGCCCATGGGCATGATCATTGATCTCCCAACGGGAGAAAGGGCCCACCTCATTTCTCTAGAAACAACAAGCTCTCCTGCATTATTGTTTACTCCCTTAATATTAGGATTTACTCACTCGACACCGGGGTTGGCCCCTTCACCTCTAGGAGCGACTCTTGTTATCTCTCAAACTCTTCTTAAGTCTCCCATGTTCTTTCAAAGATAGAGAAATGAAATATTACCTATAAAAGCTCAACAAAGATAGCTTAGAAAGGAAAGCCTTCGCCAAAGAAAAGAACATGACAAAAGGAAAATTGCCTAGTATTCACTAGAAAAGGGAAAAGTATGAAAGATTGTAGACTCACCAAAGAAAAACTCTCACCATCCCACTAGAAAAATTTTTAAACAACGCAAGTTGATGAAACTTAAAGGAAGAAGACAACTAATGTCCATTTATATATGCGAAAAAGCGAGAATCCTTCATGCCCAAAAGCCCGAAAGCCTAAAGACATTATTTTTCGACATGGTCCAATCAGCATTCGCCAAATGTCTTACTAAGGCAAGAAGGCAAATGGGACTAAGAAAAGTTCTAATGGGTCCTAAAAATGCTTTGTTTCCCTCAAAGCCTCACACATATGCATGATTAGACTTTCCACGTGAGAAAGCAATCATTACAAGCTGCAAGCATTTAATAAAAATGCCATAAACCAACCATTATCCAATCCAAAAGAGACAAGTAGCAGAACGGATCCTCAAAAATTTTCCAATGATTACATAGAGAAAAAGTCATCAAACAATTGCAATTTCACCAAAGATTACCTAGGAAACGAGTCATTGAACAACATCAATTTTTTTTAGGATTACCCAAGGAACATTCATTAAAAAACAAACAAGTTTGCCAAGTAACAAATGCTAAATGATGATAATTCTATCAAAAATCACCCACATACGAGTTTAAGTCTTCAACGAGATCTACTCACTCAAAACTCAAGGAGGCTACCGATATATCAAAAAAATTAAAACCCGACATGTGTCCCTCACCAAGTTGTGATAAAAGAACCCGTCTACTCCAAGTATGCACTGTACAAGTCCTTATACTAAAGGAACTCCTATGATTAGGGATATACTCGTATGCCAAACTCATTATCAATCTTTGGGTCCGGTTCCCTCTCCTGCTAGGGAGAAGCATAAAAAACAGAAATTAAATGAGAGATGTCGCCCTACATCTCAACCTCTAGAAATGATTGTACTTATTTCAATACCCACAAGATATTCACCTAAAAAGATTTTTAACTTACAAACACATATATCGAAGTCGTTGCAAAAAAATAAAAATGACTCGTTTGTCCTTGAGGAAAAGATGAATATGCCATCCACTCTAAGTAAGTTGATTTACCAATGGTTATGGATTAAGACCAAATTCGTATTCTCTAGGCATAACAGGCAACAAGTACAAGTTTTTTTATCTCTTTGTCATATTTTCACACTCATCCCCTCTCTAATATATAAAGGTTAACCTCATACGTGCTTAGAGGTTAGGTTCTGCCTTCTATATTCTCCATACATACAAAAACATTATGTATCTTTTTTAAATATAACAAAAAATATACTGTTAAGTTTAATCAAGCCATACTCATCAAAAAAATATAAATTAAGCCTAATAGGTTAATCATCTCTCTTGGTATGCTAACTTAACTAGAAGAGGGTTATCTAAATCTTAAGAGAAGGATATGTTTTTAGGTACACGGACTCCAAGACTAAGAACAAATCTTTGGCGCACGATCAGTCAAAAAGAAAGCGTATTTAACCGTTTCAAACAAATGGAGGAATCACGAGCTCATCAATAGAAGTAAAAAATAGACACTGATTTTATTTCAGCTCAAATTAAATCATTGATGTCAGGGTCTGTTTTTTTACCAGAGTTTTGTAAATGAAAATTACAGAAAGAAGAAGAGCGTGGCCTAGAAGTCAAAAATAGACACTGATGTTCTATTCAAATTGAAGAAATCAAAAGGTTTGGCGTAGCTGAAACTCGGGAATAGTTTAGATTTTTCAAGAAATCTAGTCAAATATGTTAATTAAATATTGTGATTCCTTTAGTCACGTACATGTTCGTTTAGTTATTGTGAAGAATACCAAAAAGAAAGCTTTGGTGGCAAATGATACCTGCAGAAAGTGATTCTCTATCTACTAGCCATTGTTGTGAATTAAAAGGGAAATATTGAAATATTATGATTAATTATAAGCATAAATGATTTTTAATAAATATTTTAAGGGCATTTGTTAGGCGAATTTTTTAAAGAAATAAGTTTTTAAGTATCCTAATTAAGGAAAAAAAAACTCATTAAAATAGGGTAATATCTTATTAGTTAATGGTGCATTGTATTAATTTTAAAATATTTCCTTATTGATAAAATAACTTTCAGTCTATCTAACATACATCATGACACCTCATATTATTTAATAAGAGAGTAAAAAAAAAAAAAAATCTTTACATGGAACATAATCTATATATATTTGTAGATTATTTTTAAAGAAAACTTTTATATGTATATATATATATATATATTAGGATTTTATACAATGTGTTAGGAAAATGTATTTTCAAAAATGGTTTTCAATTTTTTCCAAAACAGATATGTTATTTATAGAAACAGTTTAATTGGAAGGCCTAGACGTCAAATGAAAAGGTTCATAGACTACGGTCGAGTTCCATAAATAATCAATTAAATCGTGACCAGTTTGGTATGCAATGTAAAATTCAGTATATGTAAATAAAGTTCTTTTTATTTTCGTTTGAAAACTCAATGGTTGGGTAATTTATATGATAAAATCATATCGGACCCGTTTCATTGACCGCCTGCCAGTGGACTCAACGTCACAAATGACGAATTATTTATTGGGCGGTGCAAATAAAGAAGGAAAAGATTTTGAAAGAAACTTTGCTGTTCCATTCTAAAGTTAGTTGACAAAAATCATAGACCAGAAACCATTCGTGTGGAAGGAATGTGAGTGAATTATTTCTTATCAGATCATCATTCAATCATGTCAAATAATTATTTTTTATCAATGCACCATTCAATCATATTAAAATTTAATTAAAAAAAATCATGATACAAAAGAAAAACTCTGTAATTCCAAGAATACATTGAATCATGTGAACTAATTGATGTTTCATATTAAATTTATATGATTCTTATTTCTATTTTCATATAACATTTTTATTTCTATTATCATATATGATTTATATTTTTCTTTACTATCTAAATCATATCAACTTTATTGTGACTTATCAATTAATACATTTAGGATTCTATGCCATACTTCATCAATTTAATTAAAACCATGTGAAATAATAATTTATATATATATATATATATATATATATATATATATATATATATATATATATACATGAACCAAAAGACAATAGATAATGAGGGGGGCCAGCCCACTTGTTGTGGAAGAAATACGAGGGGAATAAGAATAAGATCATGATGAAAACGCTTCCTGGATCTCAATCATTACGGCCATTAGAATTCTGACTTTCACACTTGCTCTCCGCCTACAAAAGGAGTGCACATACCACCACCAGCAAGGAAAAGGGAGTGAAGGATAGAGAGCATGGAGAAGAGTGCTGATCAGAGAGAGACGTCTAGGGATGAGAATGGGAAATTTTTTATGGAGAATGATCTGAATGAAGCCGTGGAAAACAATGGGAAAGAAGAGACAGCCAGAGAGCCTAAGATTACATACAAAGGGTGGAAAGTCATGCCTTTTATTATAGGTAATCCTTTTAATTTAATTATGTTTCGTCTCTTAATTTTAGTAAACATATGAAATGTTTTTTTTTTTTTGGTTAATTATTCCAAGTGATTAATGATCTATAGTTTATGACTACAGGGAATGAAACATTTGAGAAGCTAGGAACCATTGGAACCTTATCCAACCTCTTGATCTATCTAACAACAGTGTTCAACATGAAGAGCATTACAGCTGCAACTATCATTACCTTCTTCAATGGTACTGCCAACTTGGGCACATTGATCGGAGCCTATCTCTGCGACACTTACTTTGGTCGCTATAAGACGCTAGGATTTGCTACTGTCGCCTCCTTTCTGGTAATCTCTGAATTAATAATGCTAAACCTAACCCTGCTTTCTATACATACATAAGCAACTGTCACTAGCTACTCAATTATCCCTAATCTATCGTTTGAATTGTTCTACAATGCATTCATACACTTAGAAATGGTACTAAATTTTGTAGGTGCTACTGCATATATAAATAGAAGTTTGAAACCACACACTAGTGTTGCATACTGACGATATTACGGTAATCAAGAAACGATGTAATAGGAATTCGTGTAAGAGAAAAAGCAAACAGTTTTAGCACGTGAAAATGCAGTGTTAGATGAGAACTTAGTGGCGACAAAGGTTAGCTTCACCAGGTAGGTCCAATAGAGCTTAGCCTAAAAGTCTTCAAGAACCTTTGCAACCTGTAAAAGGCATCGAAAGAGAGAAAGTAATATTAATTTATAGGAAGCTTAAGATCATATCATGATAATAATTGGATTGGTGAGATGTATCAATAATCCAAAGATTAATTATAGACCCTGTCATGTAATATATCCTTGATTAATTTTTGTGACCTTCAAATTTATTGTTAAACCTCGATTCATGCTGATATCAACTTCATTTTTTTTTCCTTCATCTATGTAAAACAATATAAAAACGTCGGACAATAATACATGTAGGTTGATACATAAGAAAAGAGTTCAGTAAATTAACTGAGACAGTGTCATGCATCTACACTTTTTAGATCGTTGAAATGAGGAGAAATCATTGATTAAATGAGATGGAACAGCCTGGTGCGGCAATTTTTTTTTTTATATTGGTTTTTGAGGTTAGAGAGGTATTGCATGAGGAAATCAGGCAATTCCATAAGTTACAACTATATATAAAGAACCAAATCTTCGAAAAGAATGAATAGACTATTATAGTTTAACAGTCTCAGCATGCTAAAATATAGTGACAAGTGAGTGGCTCGAAAGTTGGCACGACCAAGTAGGTCCAAAAGCGCGTAACCTGCAAGTTCAACAGGCTATGCAACTTGTGGAAGGTGCGGATGGATGGCATCTAAAGAGAAAAAACCCATTTTGATGAGAGATACTCTATAATATATGAATGGCCAAAAGATGCTTAGTTGATTAATGGTGGGATAAGAATCATGTAATTGTGATAACAGAAAAAAAGTCAAAACTAATTGCAGTAGTGCTGACAGTATTAGTAGTAATTATGATGGAGGAGGAGATAATGATAGTAATAATAGTAATAATATATTTTTAAAAAATTGATATTATTATCATAATAAACAGCAGCAGAAGAAGAAGATTCGTGGTGATAAAAAAAAATGATAGTAAAATAATAATAATAATAATTTATTTTTTATCACTACTATCAATAATAGTAGTGGTAATGATGATATATTAAGAGTGATGATTGCAATTGAAGAAAAGTGATGGTTGAATAATAATAATAGTTTTTTTTTTTTAATCACTAGTGTCAATGAAAGTAGTGATAGTAAAAATAATTGATAAATAATAAATAAAAATAATATATTATTATTTTGAAAAAAAAATTCATTCTCATTTCTTATTTTTATTCTTACCTTCTTCGTAGAAATAAAACTATGTTTAATTTTTATTATCATTTTTATTCTTGATTCGCATTTTTATTTAATTCTTTTCAACCAAATAATTATAAAGTTAGAATAAAATTTTTAATCTTATTCTCACTACTCTATTTCGATGACCAAACAACACTTAAGTCTAGAAATTTTAGAGTATTTTGATAAGTAATTATTAATAGCTATTTTATATGAAAAACATAAATATAAAAAGAAGAAAGAAATAAGAGAAAAAAAAACTAATAAAGAAAATATGAATAAAAGATTGTTGATATAACATACCAATCGATAACATTTTTAACTTGTGTAAAAAGTTAAAGATAACAATTTTTTAAGATAGAGGAAGCAAGTAAATCATATCTCACCTCTAATTAAGGAAAAGGACTATCATTAATGAAATTATTCGAAAAAGAATTATTAATTCCTTAAATTAGGTTTTTTTTTCAATTAGTTTGCTATTTATACACCACATAATACCAAAAATAATATAAAATAAGTTGTCTAAATCTCTACTAACTCGTTCGTACTATATTAGTACTTTACTGTGACTCAAATCTCTAAAAATACTTAAAAATAACGTAATAACGACCAATAAAATAAAACACGAAAATAATCTAATTTCACCACAATTTGTTAAATTATTAAATAAGATCTTTAGTTTTTTTTTTCCTTACATGAGAATTTTTTGTCATAGCATGTTACTTTTAACTCCTTTGAATGAAAGAATTCATAAAAATTACATTATTTATTTTAATAAAATTTTCTAATATTCAAGGAAAAAAATATTTAGCAAAAAGGATTAAGAAAAATTTATCCATTCCTATCAATAATTTATATTGATTTAAAATAAAGAAAATTCAGAAACAATGTAATGCTAATGCTACTATTATCAAGCTGAGAGTTAATGTAGTCCTGGATAAAAATTTTACCCACATCATGTATCTTATCTATTCAAGTAATATAAATAAATTTTATTTGAGAAAAAGGGCTCTTTTAACAAATTTGGAAATATTATAATAATGTTAGTAATTGTGGTAGAAAAATATGAAAATTTTGTAAAATTAAATTGCAAATATTAATGTCTAAAATCAAACAATAATGAGTTTTCAACAATGCATTTTTACCAAATATATATTATCAAAATCCAACTTTTTTTAAAAAAATGTTTGATTTACTATCATATTATTATTTTAATATTTGATTATATTTATTTTAATCATATTATTAGATTAGTTTTAATTCAACTTTAGCTTTTGAGACCTTTAAAAAGGTATATTCACAAAAAGAAAAATTATAGTGTGTACTGATGCGATTTTCTTATGATCAAGATAGTTTCCAACTTATCATATTGATTAATTCTGTTAGAGAGAGAGAGAGAGATGATCGTTAGGATCTCATAAAATGGAAATGGAAGAAACCGACTAAATTAGGAATTATTTAAGACTACTAGAGTTTTAAATAATCATTAAGGTCTCATAAAAACTACCCTTAAAAAGAAATTTTCTTTCAAAACTAATAGTTTACTAAAAGTATTTTTCATATCGGTTTTCCCCAAAAAAGAAAAATATATTATAAAATATTTTTAAGACTATTTACTTTTTTCATTCTCAAAATATATATTAAATTGTGGAAAAAGCATCCCATCCCACTAATATCGCATTCAAAGAAGAACATGTTATATAAAATCCTTGATTTTTCATTTCAGCAATTTCTTATTGCATGTATTTATAAAAAATCAAAATATAGATTCGTAGGAAAAATGAAAATAAAAAAGTTGTTAAAAGTCTTTCAATACGTCCATTATATAATTGAAAAAGCATGACCAGAAGTTGACGTATATTATACACACACACAAACACTACCATCAGAAACCTGTGCTCTTATTAACGAAGAAAGCAAAGAAGAGGCTATACACACACTTTAACAGTACTAGCCGTCGGTCAAGGTTTCACATTTGATTTCAATGGTAGACTTATATGGTATTATAGCATTCACATATGATGAATCTTATTAATTTTATGGTTCTTTGATGTCTACTTTGTGTGAAGGGATTGCTTGCTATACAACTAACAGCAGCAATTTCCAAACTGCATCCACCCCACTGTTCAAAGGAGAGCAGCACATGCAAAGGGCCAACAGCCAGTCAAATGGCATTTCTACTGGCAGGATTCTTACTGATGATAATAGGTGCTGGGGGTATCAGGCCATGTAATTTGGCATTTGGAGCAGACCAATTCAACCCTGAAACAGAATCGGGAAAGAGGGGTGTAAATAGTTTCTTCAATTGGTACTTCTTTACTTTCACCTTTGCCCAGATGATATCTCTAACACTAATTGTCTACGTGCAAGCCAATGTTAGCTGGTCCATAGGCTTATTAATTCCAGCAATCCTGATGCTCATTTCTTGTCTACTATACTACATGGGTTCAAAATTGTATGTCAAAGTGAAAGCCACTGGGAGTCCTATGACCAGTGTCGCAAGGGTTATAGTGGTAGCTGTCAAGAAAAGGAAGTTAAAGCCAGTGGACCAACCTTGGCTCTCTCTTTTCAATTATATTCCTCCCAAGTCCATCAACTCCAAGCTTTCTTACACAGATCAATTCAGGTAATTACCAGCTTCTTTTATAACTACGTACCCACCCTGCATATATAAAACGCTTTGATTAAGACCTTTCGGATTTAATTTATTATCTATCTATTCTGACGGTAGTTGATAATGCCTACAGATTCCTCGACAAAGCAGCAATCATGACTCCCCAGGACCAAGTAAACCCAGGTGGATCGCCAGCTGATCCATGGAAACTGTGTAGTTTGCAGCAAGTGGAAGAAGTGAAATGCGTGCTTAGAGTGATTCCTATATGGGCAGCTGCTATTATATACTATGCTGCTGTAGTTCAACAGCACACCTATGTAGTCTTCCAAGCAGTTCAAAGCGACAGACGCCTCGGAAACAGCAACTTTGCAATACCAGCAGCATCATATATTGTGTTCGTGATGCTAAGTATGAGCCTCTTCATACCTGTCTATGACCGAATTCTTGTGCCTTTTCTGAGGAAAATTACAGGAAAAGAAGGTGGCATCACAATTCTTCAAAGAATTGGCATTGGCATATTTATCACAGTCGTTACCATGTTAGTCTCTGGCTTAGTCGAAGAGAAGCGAAGGACAATAGCTCTCACCAGGCCAACTCTAGGAACTGCACCAAGAAGAGGTGCCATTTCGGCGATGTCGGCTTTATGGTTAATCCCTCAGCTAACTCTATCAGGAGTGGCCGAGGCATTTGGTAACATTGGCCAGGTTGAATTCTACTACAAGCAGTTCCCTGAGAATATGAGAAGCATCGGAGGGTCTCTCTTCTATTGCGGCATAGCAGGCTCAAGTTATTTGAGTAGTTTCCTGATAACAATAGTTCACCGAACAACAGAGAGGTCAGCAACTGGTAATTGGTTATCAGAAGATCTCAACAAGGGAAGACTGGATTACTACTATTACATGGTTGCTGCTCTGGGGGTCTTAAACATGGGCTATTTTTTGCTGTGCTCTAAGTGGTACAAGTACAAAGGGGGCAACGATGATGCACTGCTTGAGCTCAATGGGGAGACAAACCAATCTGAGAAACATCTAGCATAATCAGTGATTTCCTAGGAACTAGATCCATTTGATAGGATGAGTCTTCACCTTATACATAGATAAAAAGTCTCAGCTGTCCGCTACAAGTCCACAGAGTGTATCCAGAATAATATCTCGTCGCTCATTTGAAAAAACTAGTTTGGTGTTATGTTGCATTCGTACATTTAAATCGCAGATGCAGTTGCCATCTGAATCGCAAATTTAACTCACAGCTTATTACAATAGTAAAATAATAATCATAATAATCAATATTATGAATATATGAATAACGATTAATAAATTGATGATAATTCATATATTTTATATTTTTAACAGTTTTATTAATTAACCATCCTAATAATATTTTTAATAATTTAATATTATACAATAATGGTTGAATTTATTATTTAAAAAAATATTAATAATACTTTCTATAAATTAATATCACATAATAAATATTAAAATATATTATAATTTTAAGATACATATTATAAAATATTCATCTTAAAAAAGATCGTCATCAAAAATCATAATAATATTTATTATCTTATTGATATTATAATTCTTGTCCATAAAAATCGTAAGCATATTTATATTGCACTCCTAAATTCAATTCAATTTTCTGAGGATTACGGATTTGAAGTAGATTCATCGAATGAAGTACCATAAATAAAGCTAAATAGCAGGAGGTTAAAGACAAAATAAAGCTAAAAAATTAGGAATGAAAGTACACGGACACACTGCAAAATGGGAAAGCTAGAATTCCCCCCCCCCCCCAATCCAAATTCAAGCCTCCAAAGCTGAATTAATAGTTTATATAACACTCGTTATTTGAATCTATAGTTGCTTTGACAAAGCAACTTTCGATGGGTTTGAATCCCTGGGAATCATATCCCCAGCATTTTAAACTTTGTAATAGCTCAAGGAGCAAACTGCAACCAAATAAATAAAAAAATATATATATATATATATATATGATGTGATACATCGGCTTCTTGAGGTGCATTTGCAAATTTGCTAGCCTTCACACATTTTAAACTGATTCTAATGAGACTCAACCAGCAACATGCAGTCAGCTTTGTTAGACTACAAAATATTGAGGCGTGAAATAATGTGACAACAGATGACATAAAACAAATAGACAGCTGCTGAAACAGCAGTTTTATCACCCAACTATCAGATTTTCAAAGGTTCTTGTTCCCCAATAACATTGACTACCATGATATTACTTAACCAAGCACAGGTTTGTATCTAATACAACAGGAAAAAAAAAAAAGTACCATGATAATTAACCAGCTACTATGAGTTTGTAGATAATATGATGGAGAAAAGGACCAGCGCCCATATCCTTCCTATATAAACATAAATGGCAAAAAGATGAGATTTCCCTCTTGTGGGCATTGCAAAGTGAGAATGGACCAGAGAAGAAATACAGCTCCATCACAGTTAACTATGGAACTCGGAACATTGTGGCAATAAATGGCGTTGTTGCTTCAGGTAACTCAAACAACATGCTGATTGCATGTCTCTACTCTCAGCGGTGGTAAGATGCGCCATTTATTGTGTTTTGTCCCACAAACAATCTTCAGACTGTGTATGCTTGTTGAATTGTGTCTATATCGAGGCCCTTCAGTCTCACCACAGATTCTACATGACCCTTGAGTGTATGGAGTTCCCTCAACCTGCAAGCATTGCAAATAAATCAGGACAAAAAAAAAAGGCAGAATTAAAGTTCAAATGAACTGAAACAACCAGTAAGGCCCATCAAAACTTCAGCAATGAAAATCCTATAAAATGCATCACAACTAGCCCAGGAGAAGGGGTTTCATATCTTCTGGCAAGCTGAATACTACATGTTATTACAACACAAAACGGAACCGTCGCTTGCATATTTTGCATGTCCTATCAACAGAGTAATATATCTTCAAGTACAATGCCATGTGCAAAGCTGAAAATGACAGCTAAATATCAGTGCCTACCTTGCAATTTCAGCTCTTCTTTTTGCTTCTTCAGCCATATGATTGAGTTCTGTGAAATGGGTTCGCTCAGTGAACATCTTTGTGTCTGGTGGTTGCAACCCATGCAATGTCCTCTGAGCATGTGCCCACTGAAGCTCACGTTGTTCCTTCCCAAAATCTTTTTGCCTTGTGAAAGCAATCTACAGAACAAGGAAATCCACCAGAGAAACAAAACATTTACACATGCAGCCAATACTATACCAAAGACAAAGATCACATTCAAATAAAGTCCCATCAAACCAATGGCACCCATACCCTTTGCTCAATAACAAGATCCCAGGCCCTCCCACTCAAAGCATAGCGGATAATGAATTTGATGACGTCAAGTGGGATATAGAAGATGATGTTATAGAGCCAAATTACACCAGCCCAACCCCAACCAATGCCTTCAATTGCTGCGAAGCTCCAATTTGCATAGACTGCAATCAGAGTGGCAATCTGAACAAAATGAAAGGCAACATTAGTGTTCGCTTTCAAATTATTTAAAAACTCAAAAGCAAACAGACAAGGCAATTGGCTCACCAGCTGAGCAATGATAAAAGCCACCACAAGTAATAACCCAGGACGTTCAACATACGACCAACTTCGAGATCGGGTGACAAATATAAGTGCTTGACTGATAGTGCTCACTTGTAAGTAAATTGCTGATGCAAGCTTTCGGAAGTCATCATGAGCTGTTGCCTCTAGAGTTGACACTCCAAATACCCTCTGGAAATTAACAGGCATGACCAATTAACTTTTGAGTATCATAAGTTCACTAGGAATGCCAAACAATAGAATCATCAAGCACACTGACATTACAGGAAGACAAATTCCAAAACTGTCAATGATGGACAGAATGTTTGCACATGTATCAGTAATCCACAGCCTGTATAACTTACTTAACACCAGCTACACAAGTTTCATATTCCCATGAAACCTTGTCACTCCATTCTTATCAAGCCAAGTATATAAAGTACTTAAAAGTTTATGATCAAAGGTACTTGTTAGTTTACAAATAAGTAAATGCATCTTCCATGATCAAAACAATCTTCACAACAAAATGAAAGAAGGCATGTCATCTTACAGGGAAGAAGTCTGTTTTATATGCTGCCCAAAAGAATATGACTGTCATCATTGCCAGATAACTACCAAGAACAATTCCAGTTGTAAATATCTCTGCCAGCTTCCAGCTGTCTGGAAGAGGAGATGGTTTCACCCTGTCTTTTGATATTGTCATAATGGTACCTGAAATAGCAAGGTGCTAGTAAGCTCCCAAGAAAACAAATGACAGGTCACAAGGATGCATAAATAAAGAGAAAAGATGAGAAGTGCACCTACTGTCAACAAGATACAAGGAAAATAAAACAAATCCTCCATCTGACATATTTTGTGTGTATGCATGTGTGCGCACGTGTGCGAGAGAGAGAGAGGACAATTGTTATGAGAGGAAAAGAAGCAACGAACCATCATTGAGAATGGCAATGATAAGCACCATAAAAGGTGGAAAATCAAACTTCCAGATGAGGGCCAGCAGCATGAAACCAAGCTATCATCATTTTAAACCAAAGCAAGGGTAAGAAAACATCAGAAATTTCTTCCCAAGATCCATCCATTATGCACCCACCCAAAAACAGAGCTCTAACTTACCACAATACGGATTGTTATGGAAACCGCATAGATCTGCCAAAGAAAAAGGAAAATGTAAGTCAACAGTCTATTAAAAAAATATAACATGTAAGAATCCCATGCTTACGGTGTAATTTTTCATCCTCTGAAAGATTGCTCGACTTGTCAAGACAGCACTGATAATGACACTAAGACCAGGCTCAGTAAGTACAATATCAGAAGCACTACGAGCTGCATCAGTTGCATCAGCAACAGCAATCCCAATGTCAGCCTTCTTAAGAGCAGGAGCATCATTGACTCCATCACCAGTCATCCCACAGATATGTTTCCTAGCTTGCAAGCGTTTTACTATCTCATATTTGTGCTCTGAAATGATAGGCATGTCAAGCTAGTCAATATTAGCAAGGAAAACTAAGATCCATTGCCTAAACAAAAGCAACAGCTAACAAATTTCTGTCAAGCAATGCATCAAAACCAGGTACAGATTGCCAAAATTAACTGAGGAAAAGAAATTAAAGAAAAGCACCAGGGAAAACGCCAGCAAACCCATCAGCTTTTTCTATTAATTCATCAATCGGTAAAGCAACAATAGACTCATCCTTGTCTTGTCCTAGCAATGCAGATGAAGGGTACATGTTGGTTCCCATTCCTAAACGACGTCCAGTTTCCTTCCCTATCGCAAGTTGATCCCCTGATAAAAGCCACAATGGTTAGAAACTCAAAACAGAGTGCCAAAAGTAAGCCAGCATGTTTTGAAATGAGATGGTGTTAGAAAGGTTAGATAAGTGCAACACTTGGAAATTTGATTAACAGAATAGTTAAGGCACTACAATAAAGCTGGACACGTGAAAGGGGAGCCCAAATAAAAATTTTCTGACACGAGTTTAAAGAAATGTACACATTCATGGCAAATACGAAAGCATTTCCAGTTCTCCTATTAGAATTCTGGGTTACATTTAAGGAAAACCTATATATAAGTATGTCCCAAGTGAAGATAACATTTTATTCTCGGTGAAATCATTTACAGCTACAGTTATTTCTCCACAAGAAACATAATTGAAGGAAAGTTTTCACATGGCTCGCAACTAGAAGAACAGAACAAACCAGTAATCATTTTAACATTTACTCCAAGATTCAAAGCCCTCCTAATTGTATCTGCACTGTCATGCCTTGGTGGATCAAAAAGGGGCATGAGGCCAATAAATTGCCAAGGCCCTCCGGCACTCTCTTTCCTTCCTTCTGGAACCTCCTGCAATTATACAGAAGCAGCTCATGAAAGCTATTATTGAAAAATAAAATCAACAACAAAGCTAGAAGCAAACATTTAAGGGAAAAAAGAAAGAGAGAATTAGGATTGTAATTACCTGGTATGCTACTGCAAGAGAACGTAAACCTCTTTCTGCAAATTTATCAATCACGGTATGTACTCTTCGCTCAATGTCTGACTTATTGTGTGCAAGATTTAGAATCTAAACAAATATTTGCAGAGAAGAATTAGGTTAAGAGTCAAAATATAGAACATCCAATGGCAAGTATTACAAGCAGTGTGAGCAAGTTACCTGTTCTGGTGCGCCTTTGCTGACTCTGTGCATTTTACCTCCAGCATCAATATAAGTCAAGGCTGTCCGCTTATCAGTAGGATTGAAAGGAAGGAAATGAACTTCCTGAATTCCAGCACGTGCCTTTTGGAACAAGGATATAAAATTCAGAATTCATCAAGACTTAAAAAGAAATTTATACACCAAGTTAAATTGATAATTACTCCTACTAATTAAACAGTGACCAAAAATTAAAAAAGAATAACATATGGACCAATTACCTCCTTAGGATCAGCCAGCATTCCTACAATAGCAGTATCTATTGCATCTTGGTTCTCTATTCTAGAGGCTCGAGCTGCCATCAAAACAACAGCATCTGCATCTACTCCTTTTGCAAAAACCTGAAAGTTATACCCAGGGGCATATAAGCAAGAATCGTGCTCAGTAGTAGATGTTTGAAAAACAGCTTTCACTGTGCAACCTCAATAAGATTTTTGTCCACAGTAAGTTTGTTTAATGTCAATGTTCCAGTCTTGTCACTGCAAAGCACATCCATGCCAGCCATCTCTTCAATTGCAGTCATTCTCTTCGTGATGGCTCCCTGGATCATATTCAAAACATCATCATTTTATGCCAAAAACTCATCATTCCAGGGTCAATTAGAACATTCTCAAGAACTTGGCCAACCTGCTGAGATAACCTATGAGAACCAATAGCCATTGTGACCGAGAGGACCGTAGGCATGGCAATTGGAATTCCTCCGATGAGAAGCACAAGAAGATTGTCAATTCCAGGACGATACTGCCTATCTTGGATGGGGTACATGACAATAATCTCTATAATCATCCCAACAGCAATAGAACATATGCAGAAGTTCCCGATTGCAGTCAAGACCTGCACAACGTGCAACAAGAATGTATCAATATCAGAATCACAAAAGAAGCTTAGAACTCAACAAAGATCATGTAACAATTACATCTCCTTGCCTTTTGGAAGTGACCAACTTGGTTAGTTGTATCCACAAGGTGAGCAGCCTTCCCGAAGAAGGTGTGGACACCGGTGGCAATAACTATCGCTTCAATCTCTCCTTGTTTGCAAGTAGAACCAGAGTAAATACCATCTCCAGGACCTTTTGTCACCGGAAGGGACTCACCAGTAAGTGCAGACTGAGAAACCAAAACGAAGAAGGTTCAGTAAAACAGCCATACATAGACCAAGCCAACATGAAGTGGCAACTAAGTATTTGAAGACCCACTTGGTCAATTTTAAGAGGATCGCCTTCTAATAAACGAGCATCAGCTGGAATAATATCTCCAAGTTTGATACTAATGATGTCACCAGGAACTAAAACAGCAGCATCTTGCTCACTCCATCTTCCATCTCGAAGAACCTTGCGAACAATATTATGAGAGATGAAACAAAATTAGAAGCTCAATCAAATTACAAGTGCATCAGTTTGCAATTTTGGATTTGGGTTTCATCCAAATCTGAAGTGGTTCAAAATAGAAATCCACAAATTTAAGGAGACATATGTACAATGAAACAAAAGTTCTTTAAGTTCGCATACCTTAGCTTTGGGAGCAAGACTAGCCATGAGAGCAGCAGCAGCATTACCCGCATTATTTTCCTCAATAAAACTGATAGTAGAGTTAATCAAAAGCAGAGTAATAATACCCACAAAGTCTTGCCAATCTGGAGGCTTTCCCTGAACACAAAAAAATAATAATAATAAATAAAATAAAATGATCAGCTTTTTAACAAAGTCCCAACACAAACAAATCCGTACGCGGAAAAAAGTCAGAAAAACCAGAATATGCTAGTTGCTAATACTTACTCCTCCATTTGCAAGAGCAATAGCCATGATAGCAGCAGCCTCCATGACCCATGAGAGAGGATTCCACATAAAGCCCAAGAATTTCAAGAGTTTGCTCTCCTGAAACACACCCAGAAGATAATTTTGAGTTAAAACCTGAATTCAAAGACAGTAAGAAGAACGTTTATGAAGATAAAAGGCACTACCTTTTTCTCTTCAAGCTTGTTGTGACCAAAAATGGTTAGCCTCTCCTCAGCAGCCTGAGTTGTGAGACCTTCCCTGCTACATCTCAGATTCTCAAGCACTTCCTCAATGGGTATGTTTTCCTGCACTCGGAAGAAAATTGAAAACTTCAAACTCAAAAACAAACAAAAGAACACAAACACGGATAGCAATCAAACCAAACAATGGCTTCAAAGTATGCCCTGATCTATTACCAAATCCACAGTTTCCTTCAAGACAGCATCCAAAACTTCACCCTTCTCCCCCATCTTCTCCTTAACTAGACTTTCTCTCTCTACAGAGCAAAGAAATCAAAGATCAAAACTTCGCTACACAACCACCATGAAAAGAAGCAAAAAACTTGAGATTTTCAGAATACCAAGTTAAAAAGTCTTGGGATTTTGAGCATGAATTAAGAGTTCAGGACAGCGCACCAACACCAAATGTGCAAGGAAAGCCAACAACTAGAGGAACCAACCGCTTTAGAGTAGTGGCAAAGAGTGTGCAAGTTACAGTCCACAATCTTTTTCTATCCAACCTTTTGGGTCAGATCCAAAAAGGTACACATTTAATGTTTTTGTTTCTGAAAAGGTCCCCGTACTTTCTACAAGTACTTGCACCGGATGCGTTCTAAAGTTGGACTTTTGGCCATGTTGGAATTTTGAAGTTTTTGGTGGACTAAATTTGATAAAAGTTTTTGTGACCTTTTTGCCTAAAATAATAATTTTATAGATGAGGACTAGCCAAGAATGAACAGCACATGCACCACAGAGACCAGTGTTTTTTTTTTTTTTTATCCATATTTTAACTTTAACTTCACTAACTTTTTGACTCAAAATTGATTTTTTTCTTTCTTTCTTTCTATCTGGGTAAACAAATAAGGTGCTAAATTTCTATTAATAATAATAATAATAATAATAATCTCCTTAACAGTAGCCGCCCATCAGACAACATTATTCTAAGGTTCGTTCAACTACTATACTAAATTACTACTCATACTGTTATGTGGCTTTTGCACTCCTGCCCTTAAACTTTTATAGTTTTACTTAAAACTAACTGATATAATCTTGAACTATTTTAAGGGTTCATTTGTTTTGCACAAAATATTTTTTTGAAATATAAATGTAACCATTTTTTCTATAATTGTTTTATTTGAATGTGTTATGGAAAATATTTCTCCAAAAAGTAAATTATTTTTTATTGATAGCTGCAAAAATAGTAATGGCAATAAAATGATGCTAATGATGGTCTTAGAGATAATAATAATAATAATAATAATAATAATAATAGTGACGGACATGATAAAGGATGGTATGATTATGATAATAGAAAAAATTGGAGTTGAAATTATAATTTATAGTTGTTATTGTAGTGATTGTTATAAAGCAATTATGATGTCAATAGTGATAAAGCCATAGTTACATTGATAATAAAGTAGTGGGGAAAAATTTGTGTAAAGTAAAAGGGGTTGGAGTAGTAATGTAATGGTATTAATGAACAATATTGTGAGTTATTAGGTCCAAAGAAAAATATTATTTTTCCTGTTTCACGAGGTTAAAATATTTTCATTTAAAATAATAAAATTTAGATATTGACACTAAAATCTTTTCCTTTGACTAATTTTCAATGTTAATTTAAAAAAAAAATAAACATTTTCAAGAAAATATTTTCTACAGAACAAACACTCCCTTGAGATAGAAAAAAAAAAAAAAAAAAGCGAAGTATATATAAATCATTCACCTTTCGTACCTGCTTTGAATTTGCTGACACCAACTTCTTACCTATTTTGCTCTTATAAAAAGTCAGTGCGTTCTTTTTACAATCCTCCTAAAACGCTTTTCCCATTGTTGAAAACAAGGCAAAGTGGTTTTGCCTATTTGTTTCTTTACGAAGAACGAATGCAAAACGCACTTATATCTTTTCAAATTCCAACTTTACCCTAATAAACTTGATTTTTTACAAACAAATTTTCTATCTTTCCGTTTTTCTATGCATGCATAACATCGAACACATTTTCAAGTTTCTAATTTGAAAAAATATTCTAAAATTGTGACAAATGAACTTGTTATATGATTTTGCATGGGAATATAAAAACTGAAAATGAAGAATAAAATTAGAATTAGGAAATGGAAAGCATTTTCCATTGTTAAACACTTTAATATGTTTGCTACTTTATTTTACCAATATATATATATATATATATATATATATATATATATATATCCATATAAAATCGAGTGATTCATAAAAAACCAAGTCGTTGAATATGAGCTTAACTTATATTTTTCATTATTAAAAATGGATTTAAAATAAAAGTTCATGGTCATAATTTTTGTCTAAAAAAGCAAATAACCTTCTCATAAAGTAGTTATTATTAATAGTTGTTAATTGAGTTCTCTAAAATTTCTCTTTGTATTTGCATTAGTAAGAAAATAATAATAATCCTTGTACCTTTTCTTTTCTGGCATTTTATGCATGGGCAAGGCAAGTATCTTAAGGGGTGTTAATTAAGAGGAGAAAAGAAATCAAATATGTGTTACTATATTTATATTGATAATTAAGGTTTTGGAAGGTAATGTATCAAAATGATCTTATTAAAAAAGTATTTTAAAACATTCAAGAAAATTGGCTTGAGGAAAAGGGATCCTAATGACTTAAATAAATTGTTCCAGATTCTAATTTTTACGAAAAAAAAATATATATATATATGAGCAAATCTTTTTATCTTATGTGCCTAATAGAATAGCGAAAGATTAATTTACGTTTTTTTACTTGAAATATCCTAAAGGATAAAATATATATATATATATATATATATATATGTATATATTACAAAACTAAGTTGTGTGTGTATTTTAGTAGTTTTCTTAAGATGCGTTGATTAAATACCACTGATTGGATAATGACTTGCCATTTTCCCTCTTTTCAAGCACTTCACTTTGTATAGAAACTAGAAATTGTAAAATAATAATAATAATAATAAATAAATAATCCTTTTTGAACTCAAAATTTTAAATATATATATATATATATCTCACCCTCTAAATATATTAGGTGTTTTATTAAGAAGAATAACTAGCTATCTATGTATAATTTCCCAAAAAAAAAAAAAAAAACAGCTTAACAAATTAAAATCTTCTCCCTTTAGCAAGCTCTCTATTTATTTTTGGTTCTTTTAACTATTTTCTTTTGTATTAAATTTTCGAAGTTTTGATCTCCAAATTTGCATGACAACGTAAAACATGAACTACAAACTTAAGTAATTTAATTCTAAATAATTAGTATATTTTACTTAAATTTATTTTCTATTTTTATATCACATTTGTGATAATTATATGAGTTTGATTTTTTTTTTTTTACACGTATGCATTAAGTTATTATTATGAATTGGTTATAATTGGCAGATTTATGTGTAGGATAATTAACTATTTTGTAAGAAGGGTGCATAATTGGCAGAGATATGCGTAGGACAATTAACAATTTTGTAAGGTAAGTACACTTTATTGATACGCCAGAAAAAGATTTTGGAAACCTGTGCAAATAAGCTTATAATATATGTTATTATAAGTTAATATATTTTCAAATCAGTTTATTTAACAATAAAAATTAAGTTCTTTTTCGGATAATTTTAAAAGCATATTTCTATAGTACATAGAGATAAATTTAATAAATTTATTTAGATTTTGACTCCAAAATTTGAACTATTAAGAAATAAAAAAGAGAGAGAGAGAGGGAACAAACTACTTTAACAGCTGGAGCAATTCTTTTGGATTCACAATTTATATTAAGTTATCAATTTTGGAAGTAATTTTCTTGAATCTCCTAATCTGCATAAGGCCTTCCCTAATTTCTACGTGCGAAACTGGTTTGAAAATATAACCTCAGCAATTGCATCTCTAAGTGAAACATAGGGATAGTTTCGTAATTAGACTAAAGTAGGAGGAGCATCACATAAATAAGCTCTCAAGTTAATATACAGGCTGTTTAGTTAATTTTGTTTCTTGGACAAGAAAAAGTAGCCTTTGGGCATCCATAGTAAAGTCGTGAGAGTCAGTGATATTTTGCTTTCCGTATTTTCAGCCTGCTTTCCGCCATGCTTTTTGTCTTTTCTTTTTGAACTACAAACCAGTCCCTTACCCTGTAAGATTATACAATACAGTCCCCAACCTTTAAAACGTTTGCTAATTTCTTCTCACACTTTCTTTGGTTTAACAAGTTCATCTCCCGACTCCCATTAGTCTGCTCCCCGTGGAATCTAGTATGCTAAGACTCATTTTACGAACAAGACATCATGATATTTCAGAGTGTATGGCTTAGAAAATAGTTTAATTACCACATTTTATTTTGGTGTTTGATAAATAAGTAACACCTATTTCATCTTCATTAATATCTTCTTATATTTCAAACTTCTATTAACATTAAAATTGACAAAAATACAGTGAAAACAATAACCATTATTAAATACAGTCAAAGAAAGACTAATTGCACTTTTTAAAAATACAAGTACTTAATTGAACTCTTAAAAAATAATCCCCCCTCTATTTTTTTATATAGTTAATAATAAAAATATATATATATAAATTTGGTATCTAATTTTTTATTAATATTTTTCCGAGGATTCTACCTTCAATTACTTATTTGAGATTCATCTTTATTTTATTTAATAGTTAGTCATGATGAGTTCTATTGACTTGGTGGCTATCTTATGCCATGTGGGAAAAAAATTGAATCGAGGTTGGAAAAACAAAAAACACATATATAATACCCAATGTACTCTTGAGTGAGTTTCGCCTATACATGGTCTCTTTGTTTTTTAAAATTATTTTGATGGAGATTGTGCATTATTTTTTATGTTGAAGGATCCATTTACCCTTAATTTTGTTTTGTTTTCGTCTTTTTGTTTAAATTTCATTAGTTGTGACAGACATGATATATTCAATTCTAAAAAAGTGACACATGTTATACATAAAACTCTAATAAAAAAACTTACTAAAAATAATTCAAAGAATAAAATATCAAATTATTTTTAAATTTTCATGTTATTTTGTTAAAACCACATAATAAATGCATAAAATGGGTCATATGTAAGATCTCATCATAGTAAAACTCTAAAATATATATTTTTTAATATTGTTATAATAAGATAAAAATAATACAAAAAATGGAACCAAGCATGCAATTATTAAAAAAATATGATGATGTGCAATAGTGATCAATCACAAATTCTTAGTTAATGGATGTAATCCTGTAAAAAAAATAAAAAATTTCAAATCTAGATAATTAGCTACTAATTAGCATTACTCGTTGTTTTTCATTTTAATTTTAATGGGCATGTATGTACTCTCTTCTTTTTTTTTTTAATTGTATGTTAGGTTTGTTTTTTTGAATGTTTTGTCTTTTCTAGATTACTATAATATTTTTTTCAAAAAATGTTGTTCAAAGTTTTACCTGTAATGGATCTCATATATAACGCATTTTGAAACATTCAATATGAGATTTTAAAAATACAAAGCATAGAAAAAATAATAATAATTTAATTCATACATTATTTGAATTGTTTTGATTGAAATCTCATACTTTTGTAAGTTATTTTGAATGAGTCATCTATTAAAGTCTTGCGTATAATATATGTCATGCTTTCGAAATGGACAT